GCATGAAAAAATTCAATTGAAAACATTGCGAATTCGCTAGAAAATTTTATTGCAATTCTATAGGATTTCTATTGGAATTCTATTGAATAATTCTATTTGCTTTTTGCGCTGATTCTATTGGATATTCGATAAGAAAACGTCAATAGATTTCGAATTTCTATTTGGAATTTTCTCTTGAGATTTTTTCTATAAGAATGCTTGGATCAATTTGCTAAGTTTTTTCCACTGGGAGGATTGAAATCATGATGTAATTCGAAATTAATGCCTTTTTAATTCGAAGTCAATGGATGATATCACTGGAGATACGGAGAAACAATAAAACTATAGTTTTATAGAAATTCGGTTTATTTTTTTCTTGTTTTTTAATAATATTTTTAACTGCGAGCATATATCAGTAGCGAAGTGGTAAAAGGGCTTAACTGCATTTTTTTCGAAATTCGTAATATTGGGGGAGGGTGGGGTAAAATGGACACTTTTTGCTTTTTTAAAAATATTTCTCAGTCAGAAACAGATTTATCAATTGAGCTCAGTCTAAACTCGTCACAAAGGGGAAGAATTGTCCTTTCAATTGAAAAATAAAATTATTTTATTTCATGAACAAATCAACACGTCATGAACATTTTAAAAAAAGTCGAAGTATTCATTTCTCTCCCCTATTAGTACCATTTGAAAATTAATATTTCATTGTGATTCACGCAAAAAGTTTCATTTTTGTTAAATGCACCTCCTTTTACCACTTCGCTACTGATATTATCGTCGGTATAAAAAAAATAGAAAAATTCTGAGTTTCACACGTTTAGCAGTTTATTCTCATCAAAATCCAGCGACGACCAGAATTTTCTTTCAGCGAAATTTAAGCTCGACATAGCTTTCAATTTTCCAGGCCCCGAAATGTGGAGATAATTGAAATACTCTTGTGATGGGTCTACCGTGGGCCAGTGGATTTCAGGCAGGGGTGTTCTGAAATGTAATGACATTAAGAAAATTGGATATCCAAGAAATATCAAGCCATTCGGCACCTACCCCCACTTCATGAAGGATTCTATAATATCCAGTAGAGTATTTTGTACATTCAAAGTTGGTTCATCCGTAACCACTGGTAATCGAGGGCTAGTGATGAATAGATTGTAGTCATCGCCGTGACTCACACCTGAAAAATAGGATGATTAGAGTTTTTAAAAATCTCATCGAATTCGATTGAACATTCGGTTTGCCTTCCGTCGATTCTATTAAAGAATTCGGCAGATTTTTTGCGCGTCCTGTTTATAGAAAATCTTTAATAGAAACTATTAAAAAAAAATCAATAGAATTTCATTTTCTTGTACACTTTTTCTATTGAGACATTATCTCCAGAAAAAATCAAACAAAAAACTTTGAGGAAAAATTTAAGCCGATGAATTTCTATGAAAAGTATATGCATAGAATTCCAATAGAATTTTTTAGTGAATTTGCTACACGGAGAGAAAAATTTCCTAATACATAGACCGTATTTACTTGAGAGAAGTAAATTATGTTCAATGGTTTAGATCTCATCAGAATGTTTGTCGTTGTATTCGTTGCATTGTATCGTTGCGCATTATATCATGAATATATTACATATCGAAATATTGGAACTGCATAACAAAAAAATTATGGAAACAATAAATACTTGAAGATGACGATTCTTCTATGCGATTTGAGTGAGTTCATTTACGACAAAATCATACTTGATTACAAGAATATTTTAAAGCATTTTTGGACTTTGGGATAGTGAAGTTGAAGTCGAGTAAATGAGGCGCGAGTTCCTCCCATTTTTCATCCAACTCTGCCATTAATCCCTCGTTCTCGACGAATTCCGCGGCAGGGAAGAGTCCCTCCTCGGAGACGACGCTCGCTACCCAGGGGACAGGGGCAGCACTTCCGCTGTCGATGATCTCCACAGGTGATCGATCGATGAACGGATCTGTCGAGTTTTTCTCCACCACTGGACCAAATGGGGTGAAGGGATTCATCAACCATGGCTGGAGAGTAATACATTCAGACAATTTTAAGATATAATTTTTACGTACTGATCTTCACTTTTCCTCGTCCGGGGATTGGTATTGGTCTTTCCCCAAACTCGTAAAAGTGAAAATCACTACGAAAAAATACCGTTCGCGGCTAATGACGTGGGGTATTTTCACTCGCGTGCTTGGCCAGTCCTCGCCTCCGGTTCGGACGCCAACTCCACGCGAGCAAAAAACCCCATGACACTCGCCCTGGAATACACTATTTTTTATTTTTCTCTCGTATACCCTTTCGGATTTTTACGATTTGTTCCCTTCCCACCCCTCAAACCCCTGTACCGCATTCATCTGAAATTCGATTTCATTTAGGAGGCACACTCACCTACACTGATAGAATGATTCATTTATTCCAAACGAGATTCGTTAACTATTAACGAATGATAGAGTTGAATATAAGCAAATATTCGTTAATAGTTAACGAATGGTTCATTTGAATGGCGAAAGTCAAGTCAAACAAGGCTCCTTAACTATTAACGAATGAACATTTGGTGGGACCGAAATGGTTCAAAACCATCTTTAGAGGCCCTAGCACGCCATTTCTCGACCCGCTCTTTCATTTGAGCCCAAAAAAACATTCATATCTTGTCTGACATCTCTGCCACAAACTCGGGTCTACAACTCGGGCCTTCAATAATGTCTTGAAAAAGGGGGCAAAAAAGCATTATGATTCCAGACACTAATTCTTCTACAGCGGTGACACGGGCCGCACATTAGTCCGAATAAAATACAATAACTCCCGTGGATTTGTTATTATTTTCCTAAAAAAAGAATTCGAGTGCCGAGGGGCGAAGCCCCCCTAATGATTTCCGAATTAGTATCAATCATTCATTCCACCCTCCCTCATTACGAAGTGACGAATGTCGTGTTGGAAACAGCCCCTCACTTTGTCAACTCTGTTGAGTGCCTTTGTTACTCCAAAGTGCGGAAAAACAAGATTGAAAAAACAAGGGCAATGATGACGCAAACGAGCCGGAAGCCCCCATCGCTCAGTGACATCGGGGTGAATCGATAGCTCGTGACCTTGAGCCATTTTTCCTGCCTCCCACCGGAACATTCCCGTGGCACTGGATAAAACTGGAGAAAAATCAAGCCTCGTACACCTTCACTCATCCCCCC